AGGCCTACAGAACACCAAACAGACTAGACCAGAAAAGAAAATCACCAAGGGACAGATCATCTAGACAGAACCTAAACAAAGAAAGTAGGGTATTAACAGAGGCCTTAAATCAAATGGACCTAATAGATGTCTTCAAAACTTTTCACCAGATTGAAAAAGACTATACCTTCTTTTCAGCAACTCATGGAAACTTTTCCAAAATAGAACATATAGTTGGTCACAAAGCAAGCCTTAACAGATACAAGAAGATTTAAATGATCCCTTGTATCCTAACTATCATAGTCTAAAGCTGGACCTCAACAACAACAAAAACAACAAAAAACCTTCACATACATAGAAACCGAACACCTCACTACCTAATGACAGCTGGGTTAGAGAAGAAATAAAGAAAGAAAGTAAAGACTTTCTAGAATTTAATGAAAATGAAGGCACAACATACCCAAACTTATGGGACACAATGCCTTCAAGAAGAAATTTGAAACTTCTCATACAAGCAACTTGATAGCACACCTGAAAGTGCCAGAGAAAAAAGAAGCAGACATACCCAAGAGGAGTAGACGGCTGGAAATACTCAAGCTCGTGGCAGAAATCATTAAATTAGATACAAATAAAACAATTCAAAGAATAAATGAAACCAAGATCTGGCTCTTTGAGAAAATCAACAAGATATACAAACCCTTAGCTAAACAAACTATCCAAATCAGCAAAATCAGAAACGCAACGAGGGACATAACAAGAGACACCAAGGAAATTCAAACAGTCATTAGTTCTTCCTACAAAAGCCTATAGACTACAAAATTTGAAAATCTAAATGAAATGGACAATTTTCTTTATTGAATCTACTTCCCCAAATTAAATCAAGATCAGGTAGAAAGATTGAATAGCCCTATATCTCCCAAGGAAATAGAAGCAGTCATCAAAGGTCCCCCTTCCAATAAAAGCCCAGGGCCAGATGGTTTCAGTGCAGAATTCTACCAGACCTTCAAAGAAGTGCTAACTCCAATGATCTACAAACTGTTCCACAAAATAGAAACAGAAGGAACATTACCAAACTTTTTCTATGAAGCCACAGTCACCTTGATACCTAAACCAAACAAAGTCCAATATAAAAAGAGAACTTCAGACCTATCTCTCTGATGAACATTGAAGCAAAAATACTCAATAAAATAATGGCTTCTGATTTTCTTTCTTTTTTTTTTTTTTTTAGTTGATTTTGTATCCAGCCACTTTGCTGAAGGTGTTTATCAGCTCACCAACCCTATATCTAACAGAGGGTTGACATCCAGAATACATAAGGAACTAAAGAACTTAAACAGCAATAAATCAAGGAATCTAATTAAAAAATTGGGTAGGGAAGTAAGCAGAGAATTCTCTGTAGAGGAATATTGAATGGCAGAGAAACACCTAAAGAAATGTTCAATGTCCTTAACCATTAGAGAGATGCAAATCAAAACGATCCTGAGATTTCACCTTACACCCATCAGAATGGCTAAGATCAAAAACTCAAGTAACACTACTTGCTGGAGCGGTTGTAGAGAAAGCAGAACCCTCCTCCATTGTTGGTGGGAATGTAAACTTATATAACCACTTTGGAAATCAATCTGGCACTTTCTGATACAATTAAGAAAACTGCTTCCTCAAGACCCAGCTATACCACTTCTAGGCATATGTCTAAAAGATGCTCAAGTACACAACATGTACATTTGTTCAATCATGTTCATAGCAGCTTTATTCATAATAGCCAGAACCTGGAAACAACCCGGATATCCATAAATGGAAGAAAGGATACAGGAATTGTGGTACAATTACACAGTGGAATAGTACTCAGCAATTAAGAACAAGGAAATCATGAAATTTGCAGGCAATTGGTGGGATCTAGAAAAGATCATCCTGAGTGAGGCATCCCAGAAGCAGAAAGACACACATGGTTTACACTCATTTAGAAGTGGATACTAGATCTATAGTATAGGATAAACATACTGAAATCTGTAGACCTAAAGAAGCTAAACAAGAAGGAGGACCCAGAGTAAGTTGATCAATCCTAACTTAGAGAGACAAATGAGATAGACATTGGAAGTAGGAGAAAACAAGAAACAGGACAGGAGCTTACTGTAGAGGGCTTCTGAAAGATTCTACCTAGCAGTGTATCAAAGCAGATGCTGAGACTCTTAACCAGGCCTTGGGCAGAGTGCAGGGAAATATATGAAGGAAAAGGGAGTTGTTGGGACCTAGGGAGAACAGATGTTTCATGGGGACCAAATATGTCTGGGTACAGGGATCTTTTCTGAGACTGAATCTCCAACAAAGGACCATGCAGGGATAATAACTTAGAACCCCTGCTCAGATGCAGCCCATGGCAGCTCAGTATCTGGGTGGGTTCCCTGGTGAAGGAAATGGGGACTGTCTCTGACATGGACTCAGTACTTGGCTCATTGACTTCCTCTCCTTTCCCACTGGGAGGAGCAGCCTTGCTTTGCTGTGGGTTGGGGGTGGGGTTTGGGGCAATAACATTGCAGCCAATCCTGATGAGACCTGATAGGCTAGGGTCAGATGGAGGGGGAGGAGGACCTCCTCTACTTGGAGGCTTTGGGGGATGAGGGAGGGAGGGTAGGCTTGGGAGGGAATGAGAGTGGGGCTGTCGCTGGGAATGTAAGGTGAATAAACTGTAATTAACATAAAAAATAAAAATTTAATTAAAAAGAAAAAACATAGAAGACTAAGTCTGGAGAGGTGGGTCAGAGGCTAAGAGAGTACACTCTGATAGGATCTGAGTTCAGCTCCCAGTACATACTTAGAGTAGTTTATAATTTTTTGTAACCCTAACTCCTGAAGGAATCTGATGCCTCTGGCCTCCAGAGAGACCTGATTGGATCTGAATTGTCCTAGCATTATTTGCACAATAACTGAAATGAACAAGACACAAAAATAACTTTGATTTAGTTACCCTTCCTTTATTTGATTGTGTCACTTTCTTTGATAATGTGGCAAAGCAACTCAGGTAAACTTTTGACACTTCAGTAATGAAAAATTCTTTTTGTTTTGTTCTAATTTTTTTGTTTGTTATTGTTGTTTTTTTCAAGACAAGGTTTCTTTGTGTAGCATTGGCTGTCCTGCACTTGTTTTATACACAAGGCTGGCCTCAAACTCACAGTGATCTGCCTGCCTCTGGTTCCCAGAGTACTAGGATTAAAGGTATACACCACCAAGACTGGCTCTAATGAATTTTTTTGAATCTTTTCTATGAAATGAAATTGTAGTACAATAGGATCATGTTTTAAGTACTTTTGAGAATACAAGAAATTTCTCATTTATGCATATTACCTTTATGCAGCTAGGTTTCAAATTATTGCTATAAACATATGGAATGTCTTTGCTTCCTGTTATTTTATAGTATGTATAATGTATCTTTGCCTTTTAAAAAATTAGGTAAGTCTGGTCAAGTTGGAGAAATGAACAATTAAACGATTAAACAATGAACGATTAAAATTTTGATAGAGCTGCAACTTATGTTGTAGTTCATTAAATTTCCTACTTTGATCTGGTGTCAACCACAGTCAAAATGGCTGTATTTAAAATTGTTAACATTACTTCTTGCTTTACATTTTGGGAAAGTGGGGGACAGAAAACCAAATTTAAACCCTGTTTGGCAAATTGGTGCTTCCATAAGTTTCTTATCTGCAGGGCGAGGGTGACTTTCACTTGCCTCATTTTTTTTCCTATGCTTTAGACTTCTATATATGCTCCTATGTCTTTTGGTTCTTCTTTTTTAAACATCTGCATGTCAGCTAAAACTTCCCCTCTCTGTCTTACCTATTCGGACCTTCCAATTTTTAAAATATATTTGTTAAATTATTGTCATTATTTGTGTATGTATGTGATCAACTCCTCATTTCAAGTGAAGGAACTGCGGATATGCTTATTGCTTATATGCTTATATGTTTGTTTTTCCCACAAGAGGATTTTTGTGAATGTGTTGCAATGATATATAAAGAAGTGCCATGATAGCAAAAAGTCAGCCTAGACACATCAAGCTTTAATCCTATTGTAAAAAACATGTCCAGATCAAAACTATACATGAGGCAAACTGGAGTAGACATAAAGCATCCAAAGAAATAGGATTTGTTGACATCACCAACACAGATTCTTATATTTACACGGAATATGGGAAAATAAATTGTTAAAGTTATGTAAAGTAATTTCCTTGCTATCTGCTTCCATTTTAAGACAGTACCTCACATATGTTTCCTATGCTGGCCTTTAATGGCTATGTAGTCAACTACAGCCTTGAACTTCTGCTGCTCCTGCCTACCCCTAAAATAAGATTACAGGAATGAAGAATCACGCTTGGTTCACACACTGCTGGGAATGGAGCTCAGAACAGTATGCAGGGTAGGCAAGTACCTTGTCAACTGAGCTACTTTTGCAGCGTCTTGAGCCATTTTGTGCCTTAGAATTGCTACTTCAAGATATTTAATATTAAATAACTTAAAATTCAGCTTGTGTTTTGTAAAGGAATACACTATCACTAACACTTATGAGATGTGTAAGATTCAATGAGATAGTAAATACACAGTACTTGACATAATATTCAGCACAGGTTAAGTACCAATGAAAAGATTAGTCCAGTATATTTACCTACGGATCCTGAGAAAGATTTACCCTTTAGATCACTCAGATTTATCATGTATAATATGATAATATAAGAGCTATTTAATGGGGCCATTATGATGATAAAATACATGAAATTTTAAGACTTAGAGTGACTGACATATCTATAAATATATATGTTTATATTTAAAAACACAGTAGCTCAGGCATGCCAGAAAAAGAACTGGAACCTGAATTTTAAAGGCTGAGTCATCCAGTATTAAACAGAGATAAAAACTAGAGATTCCATTATTCAAAGTAAGTAACTATTTTTTTTTCTGTAACACTGTTGAAAAGAAACACACATAAAATTTCTATGAAAATGATTTTAAAACTAAAGATATCCAATATACCTGAATTAGGGACTCACTGAGTAACTCTTCATTAACCTCCAAAATAATGTTCCTTATTTCCTCATATGGCATGCGGTAAGATCCCAGGAAGATAGCTAAAATAAAAATGGATTTTATTAAAGAAAAATTAAAATCAAATTTTAAGAAACCTAATATATATATATAATTAGCATTTTATAGACTCAAATATGACATGTTTGTTATTAATACACTAATTTACAGAACTATAAGTTGTTTCTATTCGATGAAGTCTTCTATTCATAGGCAAAGGTGACCAACCATGGACTACCCTGTAAAACAATGAGATAAAATAAGTCTTTTCTCTTTTGTGTTGATCTACTCTAGCATTCTTTCACAATGAAAAAACGTTTACTAACACACTAGCTTTTGGAGTTATCAGACTGGCTGTAAGAGTTTATCATTATTTACTTTAAAGCAGCCTACACAATTTTCATCAGTTATCCAAATGAATATTTGTACTTATGTACTGTACTTTAATATACTATAGAGAAGCTGTCAGTTGCTTTTAAAAATTATAATTTAGAAATAAATATTTATTAGCAATTAAATAATTTAAAATTAAAATTATTTAAAATAATTTCATATCATCACAGAAATATTGACACAGGTAGAATGATATATTCGGAGAGAAAAATAGAGCAATTCATGCAATCTTTCTTTCAAGGAATATTGTTATAATCACATTTACTTTATTATTACTGTTAATGTCTTGTTCTGACTAATTTATAAAATACTAGAGTAGGCCAACAAAAAAGAGAAAAACAGGATATGTAGACAGGGTTAAGTACTACCTGTAGTTTCAATCATCCACTGGATGTTTTGGAATGGATCCCCCACGAATATGGCAGGAAGCCATTGAACTTTGCAAGAAAAGAGCTGATGTGATTAACTCCTCAACAGACTATGCTTTCCTGCTGATAACTCAGGTGGTAAACTACTAGTTTCTTCATAAACTGAATCATTTTCCTGTCAGCCTTTATGTCATTATGTATCTTTTATGTCCTGTCGGAAGAATTCAACTCACTTTACTTAGAATAGCTTACAATTACACAAAGAGCATTTTTAAACAACACATTCCATTCTCCATTAAATCCAGTTTTTAAAAGAATGTAGATATGCTTTAAAAGGTAGAACTTGAACACACATAGTAAATTTTATGAAATGCTCTACATGACTACACTGGTAGCAAAACTATCTAGGCAAATGATAAACAAGGCATGTGGACTGAATTTTAAAACTGAAATAAATCTCATGGACATATGTTAACCAGATAATAAGATCACACTGTATGTGCTCTCTTCGGAAGCACATATACTAAAATTGGAACGATACAGAGAAGATTAGCATGGCCCCTGCGCAAGGATGACACGCAAATTCGTGAAGATCACACTGTATAATAAAAAAATATTGAATATCAACTTTGTGAAGAAAAATATCATTACAATAGTGTACATATTCTTGATAGCTATTAGTAGAAGAGTTTTTTTGAGTTACACTTTGCCTGATACCAGAATAATTTGTTTACTTTAATCTCATTCTCAAATAACTCCCCTCATATACTTATTCTGCAATTAGAAATGAAGGATATGTTGAAATTTCTCACTCAGGGTATCTTAGTATCATCAGTACCTAAGCACCCTTCTGTAGTGATAAAATTATTTAAAATCCAATGCAGAAGAGAGTATATCAAAATAAAATGTAGAAGCTTGTTTAAATGGATGTGATTTTAACTATGCAGTTATATTATTAACACACATTTAATGTCTCAGTGCTTAGTTAAAGGCATCAAGGATCAGCAACCAGTTTTAAAGTGCAATGGCTAACAATTTAACCAGATCACAAGAATAACAATGAAAGGAATTGCCCAAACTGACTAAGAAATACTTCTAAAAAATATGAATCCAAGACCTAGAAAAACAATAATGTAAAAACCTAAAAATATTTTTCAATACTAGCTTATGTTTCATTATGTCCACCATGATAGTTTTATTAACAATACATTCGAAAGCTCTACAAATCATAAGTTTCAGCAGGTAAAACAATGTTCAATTATTATTTTCTTCATTTTGATTAAGTGGTAAAGACAACCTGTATTATATTTTACATGCTGTTGTTTCTAGCAGTAAATATGGTCAAAGTTGTAAGGTTGTTTACATTGAATAAGCTATCACTGCCACACATATGCAGAACATATTACATACACAGATTCTGGGCTGTTTTTGGATCCAAAATTCTCAATTCTTTCACTTTCTTCTTTGGAGGACCACCCTTATTTTCTTCGACAGCATCTACATTCCTTTGACCTGAAAAAAAAATGTTTATTCATAAACAATAATGGTTCTACTCCAAGTACATGAAATAACATTAGTAAGGCATGTTAACTACATAAATAAAGGTGATTCTGAAATCAATAAATGTATTTATTTCATTAGCTCAGAGTAGAGGACAAACGCAAAAGTACAGAACTGTTTAGAGGATTCCCCACAAATTAAATATCTGCACTTAAAGATAAGCCAAATAGAAATAAAAATCAATTGCTGCTTCTTCCCTAATGTGTCACATAAATTACTCCTTTACAGGTAACTACAGCGGCATTGAAATTAAATATATAGTAAAATCACAGTAATCGGGACTAATTGAGAAAAACAGAAAACATGGTAATGTTTAGACATTTAATTCAGTGAAACTGTTTTAAAGCACTTAAAGTAACTTTAGCTGCTGAACAGGGTGTAACAGAAAAACTCCCCACTGAGACTTTTTTGAAGAATAACTTTGAAGCATTTGTAAGTTATCCTAGAGTACCACCTATTTGCATACACTTAATTACATATCCTCAAAGAAAGCGGTATTTTGAATATGTGATTTTTGTCTTAGTTACCATTTTAAAAAAGTTTTCTCGGAACAATGTTTACTATTTGTTCAACTGGTTGAATGGATAGAAACAAGTGCAGGATCAAACCTGTGGCTGTCTGCATACACACACACAAAGTACTGTTGGTTTACATCTTCCAGGATAAATGCAAGGTTGTAGGCAATGGGACCACTAAAACATGCAAGACAGGCAAAGTTGACTTTCTTTTTCAATCAAGTGGCATTCCTGTGATCACACTGAGGCTATTAAATTCCATCACTGACTTACACAACTGTGATCATCATGCTGTTTTTTTTTTTTTCTTATCACTGGCAAAAAAACAAAACAACAACAACAAAAAAAAACCGCAAAAAACACAAAACAAAAACAAAAAAAACCCGCCTTTATTCTGAGATGATAATAATTTTTATTATTTCAAATGATTTATTCTTGTTAAAGACCTAACATCTGAGTTGTTTCCTTTACTTGTGAAAAAGGAACACTCAATAACAACATATTTTTGCCAAGGAAAGGTATCAGGTTCTTTGAAACTTTGCAATATTTCAAAGGGTGCATAAAAATGTTGCGAATCCTTAGATTCTATGCATTAATGGTGTAAGACATACAAATTCTCTTATATTAGCAGACAAGTAACACATGAAATTAACTAACTACAGAATAAATTTTAAATGTATAAGGTTTGGTAGAATAATCAATGAAAGAATAGACACAGTCTAATGATACAAGATAATAATTCCTTTGAAAATTATGACTTTGTGACAGGTGTCAAGTTCTTTGCAATGCTGCCAAAACATAACCATTGGAATTGGTGAAAGAAAAAGTATATTTCTTTAAAAGCCAATATAAGTATTCCTCAAAGTTTCTGAGAGTACAGTGTCTTTCAGTGCAATAGTCAACAGTTCAATTTATTCTAATTTTAAGATGTTCTCAGTTTAAGACAACTGTAAAAAGAAAGAAATGACAGCTCAATAGCTATTTCTGATGTCAATAAAAATTTGAATTATATCAAAATTGCCTAGGGAAGAACATTGAGAAAATTTAATACAATCCAAGAAGTAGTCAAGAAAATGTTCCTAACTTCAAAAGATGTAAACTCTGCTACAGAAAAATAATTAAACAGGAACATACAGGATGAAATGTTGTCAGATGAAGATTATATGAATATTGTCTTATTTTAAACTAATAGGTTCCTGGCTATTGCAGGTATGCATAATGATCATTAGTAATTTTACACATTGGCTATTAATTTTTATTAAACTCTAGTCAGAGCTCTTTGCTTTTCAAAGGAAAAAATAATGATGAGACGACAAATATTAAGAAAGTACTAAAGCATTCATATGTTAAAAACTACCTTCCACAGTGATCTTGGAATGCCACTTGTATTAACTAATCCAAGTCCAAATATTTTTATTGCATAAAAACTTAAAAATACATTATATCATGCTTATCCACATGAAATTATTTGGATGAGACTGAAGTGTTATTTTATGTTTCAATTAAAGAAAATTCATGGTTGATTCCAGGTTCTGGCTATTACGAATAAAGCTGCTACAAACACGGTAGACAAAATGTCCTTGTTGTGTACTTGAGCATCTTTTGGATATAAGCCTAAGAGTGGTATAAATGGATCTTGAGGAAGCTCTACTCCTAATTGCCTGAGAAAGCGCCGAATGATTTCCAAAGTGGTTGTGCAAGTTTACATTCTCACCAGCAATTGAGGAGGGTTTCCCTATCACCACATCCTCTCCAACATGTGTTGTCACTTGAGTTTTTGATCTTAGCCATTATGAGGGGTGTAAGGTGAAATCTCAGTGTCATTTTGATTTGAATCTCCCTGATGACTAAGACACTGAGCATTTCCTTAAGAGTTTCTCTGCCATTCGATATTCCTCTACAGAGAATTCTGTTTAGCTCTGTACGCCATTTTTTAATTGGATTACTTGATTTGTTGCTTTTTAACTTCTATAATTTTTTATATATTCTGGATATTAGCCCTCTGTCAGATATAGGGTTGGTGAAGACCTTTCCCAGTCTATAGGCTGCTATTTTCTTCTGACGACAGTGTCCTTTGCTTTACAGAAGCTATTCAGTTTCATGAGGTCCCATTTATTGGTTTTTGATCTCAGAGCCTGTGCTGTTGGTGTTCTGTTCAGGAAGTTGTCTCCTGTGCCAATGAGTTCTAGGCTGTTCCCCACTTTTTCTTCTAACAGATTTAGTGCGTCTGGTTCTATGTTGAAGTCTTTAATACGCTTGGAGTTTAGTATCATGCAGGATGATAAACATGAATCTATTTCCATTTCTCTGCATGTAGACCATCCAGTTGGACCAGCACCATTTGTTAAGGATGCTGTCTTTTTTTCCATTGTATGGTTTTGTCTTCTTTGTCAAAAATCAAGCATCCACTGGTGTGTGGATTTATTTCTGGTTCTTCTGTCTGGTTCCACTGATCCACCATTCTGTTTCTATGCCAATACCATGCTGTTTTTATTGCTATTGCTCTGTAGTACAGCTTGAGATAAGAGACGGAGATTTCTCCAGATGATCTGTTGTTGTACAGGATCGTTTTTGTCAATTCTAGGTTTTTTGTTTCTCCATATAAAGTTGAGAATTGTTCTTTCAAGGTCTGTAAAAAAATGTGTTGGTGTTTTCATGGAAATTGCTTGAATCTGTAGATTCCTTTTGGCAGGATGGCCATTTTCACTATGTTATTCCTACCAATCCATGAGCAAGGGAGATCTTTCCATCTTCTGATATTTTCTTCAATTTCTTTCTTAAGAGACGTGAAGCTTTTATTTTTTATTTTTTATTGTTTGCACAAGTCTCAAAGGAGGAATGGATACAGAAATTGTGGTACATTTACACAATGGAATACTCCTTAGCAATTAAAAACTAGGAAATCATGAAATTTGTAGGCAAATGTTGGGATCCAGAAAGGATAATCCTGAATGAGGTATCCCAGACCTAGAAAGACACACATGGTATATACTCACTTGTAAGTGGATACTAAACCTATAATATATGACAAACATACTAAAATCTGTACACCTAAAGAAGCTAAGCAAGCAGGAGGACCCTGGGTAAGATGATCAATCCTCAGTCAGAAAGATAAATAGGATGAACATTGGAAGAATGAGTCAAAAGGAAACAGGACAGGAGCCTACCACAGAGGGCCTCTGAAAGACTCTACCCATCAGGGAATCAAAGCAGATGCTGAGACTTAAAACTTTGAGCACAGTGCAGGGAATCATATGAAAAAAGGATGAGATACTAAGACCTGGAAAAGACAGCAGCTCCACAAGGAGAACAACAGAACCAAAATATCTGAGCATAGGGATCTTTCCTGAGACTGATACTCCAACCAAGGAACATTCATGAAAATAACCTAGAACCCCTGCTCAGATGTAGCATATGGCAGCTCAGTCTCCTAGTGGCTTCCCCAGTAAGGGGAACGGGGACTGTCTCTGACATTAACTCAGTGGCTGGCTCTTTGACCCACAGCCGTGCCAGGCCACAGATGAGAACAATGCAGCCAGTCCTGATGAGATCTGATAAGTGAGGGTCAGATGGAAGGGGAGAGGGACCTCCCATATCAGTAGACTAGGGGAGGGTTAGGGTAGAGAAGGGGGAGGGAGGGTGGGATTTCGAGGATACAGGGAGGGAGCCACAGTTATAAATAGAAAAATATAATTGGTAAAAAGTGTTTATAATGAGCAAGATGTCTAACTGTATAAGGTATACTAATAATTGCTTAACTGAAAGAGATAGCAAATCTACTGAAACTATCATTCCTGGGTCTCTATTTACTTATATTTCTCTCCCACAGTGGAGTTTTGATTTTTTGTTTGCTTGTTTGTTTGTTTTGGCCAGGGTTCTTTAAATTTAATATATAAAAACAATGAGCTTTGTTGTGGTATATTCATACATTCATTATACCTTGATCATATTATCATCCCCTAATCATTTCCACTTCTCCATAGATTTCATTTTTCTTTCCAAAGAATAATTTTATTTTTGTCTTTTTTGCCCAGATTCCAATTATAAGACAAAAAAAAAAATTACTCTTCACTGTCATTTAAAAAATGTTTTTGTTGTGGGTACCTTAGTAAGCAGAACAGGGACAGTCTCTAACATGAACTCAGTGGCTGGCTCTTTTACCAACCCCCCTGAGGGAGAAACAGCCTTGCCAGACCACAGAGGAGGACATTGCAGCCAGTCCTGGTGAGACCTGATAAGCTAGAGTCAGAGGGAAGGGGAAGAGGTCCTCCTCTATCAGTGGACTTGGAAAGGGGCATAGGAGGAGATGAGGGAGGGAGGGTAAGAATGGGAGGGGATGAGGGAGAGGATTACAGCTGGGATACAAAGTGAATAAATTGTAATTAATATGAAAATAAAAATTTAATTAAAAAAATATTTTACTCATTCATCCAACAA